TGGCCCCGGCAAAAAAAAAAAAAAAAAAAAACCTAGAAAAAAGTATATATCTATACTGTCAGAATTCTATCTTATGATTGGGTATTGTTACTGTCTTATTGTGACTAATTTATAAATTTGTGGGTATGTATGTATATATAAAGAAAAAACATATATAAAAAGAAAAAACATAGTTGACCTTCAAACAACATGGGTTTGAATTGCATGTCCACTCATACATGATTTTTTTTTTAATAAATACATGAATATACAAAGTATCAGTTAATCAACTATTGGTAAAACTCTGGTCAACAGTAGACTACTAATAATGAAGTTAGTTTGGCACCTGTTGCTCACTGATTAGGGCACCAGCCACATACACTAGGGCTGGTGAGTTTGAACTTGGCCCAGACCTGCTAAATGAGGACAATTACAACAACAACAACAAAAAATAGATGGGCGCTACGGTGGGCACCTGTAGTCCCAGCTACTTGGGAGGATGAGGCAAGAGAATCACTTAAGCCCAAGAGTTAGAGGTTGTTCTGAGCTGTGACACTACGGCACTCTACCAAGGGCAACACAGTAAGACTCTATCTCAAAAAAAAAAAAAAAGTAGAGTGGGCTTTCTTGGGGTCTGATAGGCAGCTTGAAGGCATTACAAAATTGATTAGTAACTAATTCATTACCTACATAAAACAAAGAAAAAAATTCATAGAATTTCTATAGTTCTGTCCCCAGTCTGAAGGTTTGAAATGAAATGTTAGTATTATATACAAGAAAATAATCTCTGTAATACAACAAAACAGAGATATTTACTAGCATTTCTGATCTCTAGGTTAAACCACAAGAAACAATACAAATTACAAAAACTCTGGGCAGCGCCTGTGGCTCAGAAGGGTAGGGCACCGGCCCCATATGCTGGAGGTGGCGGGTTCAAACCCAGCTCCGGCCAAAAAATGCAAAAAAAAACAAACAAAACACAAATTACAAGAACTCAAAATTGTAAAGATAGGTTTAAAAATTCAACCATTTTCAGTACACACAGGTCTATAAAAGTGATCAGGAAACTGATTGTCCCTCACTTAGAATATGCCTTTTCAGTCTCATATGACACTTGTAGAGAAGGTTACACTTTTACTCCTATTGCTTCTGCTCAGATCAACAGATTGTAATGTTGCAAATAACTTTACATTCAACTTACAACCTATATTTAAATTACCTGAAGCTTACCTTTAAAAACATTAAATCAGACTTGGCATCAACCAGTTATTTAACAAAAATTTGTTTTGTTTGCCTTATGAGTTTTAAATGTCATGGTCTTTATGCATGAAGATTATGTGAAGGGTTTTATTAAAATATATATATATATAGGCTCAGCGCCTATAGCTCAACCGGCTAAGGCGCCAGCCACGTACACCTAAGGTGGCGGGTTCGAATCCCCAGCCCGGACCCGCCAAAACAACAATGACGGCTGCAACCAAAAAATAGCTGGGCGTTGTGGTGGGCGCCTGTGGTCCCAGCTACTTGGGAGGCGGAGGCAGGAGACTCGCTTGAGCCCAGGAGTTGGAGGTTGCTGTGAGCTGTAATGCCACGGCACTCTACCCAGGGGACAGCTTGAGGCTCTGTCTCAAAAAAAAAAAAAAAAAATATATATATATATATATAACTAATAAATAAAAATACATTCCTTAAAGATGGGTAAGCTTGGGCAGCGCCTGTGGCTCAAGGAGTAGGGCACTGGCCCCATATGCCAGAGGTGGAAGGTTCAAACCCAGCCCGGCCAAAAACTGGGGAGGGTGGGGGGGAAGATAGGCAAACTATGTTTAGCTAATATTTGTTATGTCTTCAAGAAAAGTTGGCTGAAGAGTTAGTTTTGGGGGTTTTTTGGAGACAGTGTCTCACTCTGTTGCCCTCGGTAGAGAATGTGGCATCACAGCTCACAGCAACCTCAAACTCTTGGGCTTAAGTAAGTCTCTTGCCTCAGCCTCTCAAGTAGCTGGGACTACAGGTGTCCACCACAAGGCCCAGCTATTTTTGTTGTTGTTGTTGTGTAGTTATCATTGTTTTTTAACAGGCCCAGACCAGGTGCAAACCCGCCAGCCACAGTGTATGTAGCTGGCGCCTTAACCACTGAGCTACGGGTGCTGAGCCTGGGCCAGGTTCGAACGCACCAGCCTCAGTGTGTGTGGCTGGCACCCTACTCACTGAGCTAACAGGCGCCGAGCCAGAGTTTTGGTTTTTAAATAGGGGAAAAAATTCTTACACATATTGCTAGAATTTTATATAGGATGTATTTGTAGAAAGATTTTTAAGCCTATATGGTGAAAGTTTTAAAAAATCAAGTAGGAAATTTTAATGAAGAAAAAATCTACACCAGAAAGCAGCAAATTTTTTTGAAAAGGGTCAGTATTTTAGGTTCCGAAAGTAGTTCTTGCAGCTATTCAAATCTATCCCTGTGGTGCAAAAACAGTCATGGACAATATGTGAATCAATGAGTCAGGACAGATTGCAGTAACACTTTATTTACAAAATTAGAAAGCAGCCGGAGAGCGATAGCAGTGGCAGGCTGTGATAGTATGAGAGATAAACACACACACATAAACATACGTAAGTTTTCATCCACTGTTACTAGCTCATAACTCCCATAGGCCATATCACAGTCTTTTATTGTAGTGTTGGGGCAATTCAGGCCTCAGGAAACAGCTTCCCAACCTTCCTCTGCTCTCTTTTTCACCTGCCCAAAGCAGAACTCTTATTTTCCCCTGCCTTTCTGATTGTGGGTCATAATACCCTCATTCCAGAGAGGGTCTGCCCCATACCCTTTTTGTCCAATCACATTTCAACACAGTCATCCATGATTCGATCATGCCTATCCAATGAAGTTTCTCCATAAAAGGCCCAGGAGGACAGCGTTCAGAGAGCTTCCAGACAACTAACATGTGTTAAATTCCTGAAGAGCTGGGCGGTGCCTGTGGCTCAATGGGTAGGGTCATATAGGTCCCATATATGGAGGATGGTGGGTTCAAACCCAGCCCAGCCAAATTGCAACAAAAAAATAGCCAGGCATTGTAGTCCCAGCTACTCTGGAGGCTGAGGCAAGAGAATCGCCTAAGCCCAAGAGTTGGGAAGTTGCTGTGTTGTGTGACACCACAGCACTCTACCAAGAATGATAGAGTGAGACTCTGTCTCTACCAAAAAAAAAAAAAAAAAAAAAAAAAAATTCCTGAATAGTGGAGCACCCAGGGAAAACCTGAGAACTCTGAGCTCTTTCCTCCATACCTGGCCCTATGCATGTCTTTATCTGTATCTCTTGTACAACCTTGTAATAAACCAGTGAAAGTGTTTCCCTGAGTTCTGCTCTAGCAAATTAATTACACTTAAAGAAGGGGTATTGTAGGATTCTCAATTTACAACCAGTGGGTCAAAAGCTCTGGAAGCCCAGAATTGTGACTGGTGTCTAAAGGAGGGTGGGGAGATGGTCTTGTGGGACAGTCATCTACTCCTGGGGTCTGAAACTATCTACAGGTAG